TATCAACAGGGTGGTAAAGGACTTTCCATTCCGACATGTGAATAATGAGTAGTCCGCTTTGGACCGAACATATCCAGCAACTTGAACAGCTGTTGAGAACTTGGTAAACCATTGACAAGAATCTTGCTTTAAATCATACAACGACTTGTTGAGGCGACACACCAAGTTCTCCCCCTGTCGTTGAAGACCAGGAGGTAGAGACATATAAATTTCTTCATGGAGATCACCATGAAGGAAAGCATTGTTGACATCTAATTGGTGAAGGGACCAATCCTGAGCAGCTGCCAGAGCCAATAAACAACGAACAATAATCATTTTAGCAGTGGGAGAAAAAGTGTCATGATAATCGATACCTCCCAACTGTGTGTAACCCTTGGCCACCAAACGAGCTTTATAACGTTCTATGGTGCCTTCTGAGTGGCGTTTGATTTTATAAACCCAGCGACATCCAATGGGTTTATTACCATGATGGAGGGGAATGAGAGACCAAGTGTGATTAGCTTCTAAAGCTGCCAATTCAGATTGCATGGCGTCCTGCCAATGTGAATGGGAAGCTGCTTCTGTACAAGAGCTGGGCTCAACATCCTGAGTAATAGTAGCAACAAAAGAATGATGATGTGGTGAGTAACGATGGTAAGAGAGAAAGTTACAAAGAGGATACCTTGTACCTTTGGTGGAACCAGACGACGAAGGCAGCGACGGTTTGGGAGACGTCACTTGGTTGCAAACATAATCACGTAAAGCATGTGGAGGACTGTGATGTCGTTGAGAACGTCGTAAAACTGGTGCGGGAGGAGGCTGAACGGCGCTGGCAGGAATGGGTTGATCAAAAGTGGAGGTTGACAAGACCCGCCCCGAAATTTCCTCGGAATCTGGGACGGACCCCGTCTAATTACCGACATCAACCCGATGCCGGGCCCACTTACTAAAGATTGAGACTTTCTACCAAAAATTTGGCAGAGTCTCCCCTGTAAATTGAACATTCTCAAACTTCAACCTGTTCAAAATTTACAGTTAA